CCTCATATTAAGATGTTGTTCTTTTCCATTCAAAGTAATAAAACACACAAACAAAACAACATCACCACAAGTATATAAGTAACATATTCAATACTAATTAAATTGATAGAATTTACCACAGCAATTAAGAATTAAATTTTTTTCCCAGCTTATTGTCACTGACAAGACACAGAACTTAAGACGTTTAGAAGCTCAAAGGAATGAACTAAATGCCAAAGGTAAAGTATATTAAATGTTTTTGAATGAAATATTACAATTATATACTGTAAACCAACTTTTATTCGCGACGACTTTATTTCGCGATTTACCAGGGATAAAGTAGATCGCGACGATTAATTTTCGCGATCAAGCCTTTTTTTGATCTGTTATTAATATAAACAGAGACTTTAAGGATCGCTTCACAGCGAGAAATATTCGCGATGGTGAGACTCTCGCGAACTTCTCGAAAATTTCTCGCACGCGAATAAAAGTTGGTTTACAGTACCATTCATTACTTTCACAAAGTATTGTTCATTGTTTCCTGTACAGTTATATTTACTGTACATTCACTCTCAGAGAAGTTTTAGCTCTGTTATTTTATCATGATAGTTCATGCAGTGTTAGCTCTCCATTGGTTTGGGATAGTGAAATACTACTTATGCATATATATTTTGTAATACTCAATGTACAACTGTACTCTAAACCAACTTTTATTCGTGACAACTTTATTTCTTGATTTTCCAGGGGGTAATCTATAGGGCTGTGCAATATTACCGGTATATCGGTATATTGTAGAAACTACAAAATGTACTAGAATAATACTTGTAACATTCCCAGGCCTTTCCAATCCAGTTAAATGAATACTTCGTCAGCTTTCAAAGAGAGAAAGAGAAAGAGAGAGAGAGAAAAACTTACCATTCATTGTCGCAATTTTAAATATCTTCCTTAAAAAATTAATAATTGATAAAGACTTTTGAATAAAATTATTAAGAAAGAAAATTTAAAAAAAAAAATATATATAAAACATTTCTACAGGGTGTATACAATGTTTACTGTGGTTCTCAAAGTCTCACATGGAATCTACACAGTCGATGTCACGATGATGAATGTTTAGTTCAAGATGTATTACAAGTAAATGGCCATCTATGTTTTCACTTGATACAGTGTTGCTTTTATTATTCTTAAATAAGTTTCATGCCATTTTTAACACTTTCATGCTATACCATGTATATTAAAACAGTAGAAATAGGCCAGTGCAGTTCCTGATGGTATGTCATAAATGTGAAATTAGGTCGGGTTAGACTAAAACACCAAAACGCCCGAAAATAGGTCACAATTTCTTTCTAGCTTTAATTTTATTCTGTGACCACATACAATTTTCATATAGTTTGTATTGTTTTAATCATCAAGTTACATATTGTGCTATTTCAATAAAACACCCCCCCCCCCTCCAAAAAAAAAAAAAAATGTAACAAAGATTATATACTCAAGAGAGTTCATTTCGTTTTATTATTTTACCTGGTATTTGATTAAAAGTAAAGTGTTATTATGTGTGCAATTAATGTTTTATCCCCTCACCCCCTTTAAAACTTATAGATAAATTCAAATAGTCTTTGAGCTTGACAGCATTTTAAACTTTCTGCACAAATTTATTAATGATAATTAATCTGCAATATAACCCAATACATTGCAATATTCAACATAAAGTATTGCAATATATCGCAATATGGTTTTCACTCGCAATACGCAACACTAGTAATCTAACCTGTGAACATTATTTTTCGCGATCAAGCCTTTTTAGATATGTTGTTAAAAGACACTGACAGAGACGTTAAGAACGGAAAATTTCTCGCACACGAATTAGAGTTAGTTTACAGTAAGCTATATCTTTTTGGGTAATGTCTTTTTCTAAGAATCTCTTATCTATTTCCTAGTGAGGATGTTAAGAGAAGAACTTCAGCTCCTACAAGAACAAGGCTCTTATGTGGGGGAGGTTGTCAAACCCATGGACAAAAAGAAAGTGCTAGTCAAGGTACCAACAGTAAACAAACATAATTACATGTATATATATACATTCCACATGCAATTTTGCTTTTAAACATTCAACACAATATTAACACAGATGGGGGAGGTTAAAAGGTAAAGGTATGATTTTGATCTTCTTGTCACGAAGTTAAAATCGGTATAACTTTTAAATTAGAGGATAAGGCAATTATATTAACTTTCCACATATATTACTTCTTTTACCTTGACATCATGACTTTCAACTTAAAGTTTAACTACAGTGCTTTCAAAATTATTAAGTAAGAGGGATTGGAAGAAAATATAATCTTGATTCATCATATATATATATATATATACACAAGAAATTATTGAATCCTGTTGAAGTGTGATGTCGTAAGCAAAAATCAAAATTCATGTTTTCGTTGAAGAGTTAAATGATAATAGCTGTGGGAATTGTAATTGTAATTTTTTTAACCTCTTTACAGGTAAAGCTAATTGGCATGGTACAATTTTTTTCAGGTACATCCAGAAGGGAAATTTGTGGTGGACGTAGACAAAAATATAGACATAAACGATGTGACTCCAAATTGCCGAGTAGCTCTTAGGAATGACAGTTACACACTACACAAAATTCTGCCAAACAAGGTAAATGACAAACGATCTGGGAATTTACTTATGGAATTTACTCAGGAGGTGTTGGTAGTATGTTAATTCTTTTAATTTAAGGTAAATTAATAAAAAAGAAAGTATAAAGAATCATTTATTGTCACTTTCCAGCAAGACTGGCATCTTAAATGCATTGCTATAATTTACTAACTTCATTCAGGAAATAATGATTAGTTCAAATCTTCTTTAGTTTTCACACAAATTTTATGTAGCACTTTAAAAAAGAAATTAAGAATAATCATTGTATTGTTATATATATGTAGATCAGATATTATAGATATATTTCAAATATTTAGAAGCTTTGGATATGTTTGTGAGTAGTGTATAGGTGTGAACATTTCCTTGTATTTCTTTGTTTTTTATTTGACGTATGTCAGATATATATCAAATATTTACATTTATTTAGAAGTTTCAGCTATTTATGCCTCTTTTAATTAAACACAGGTGGACCCTCTAGTGAGTTTGATGATGGTAGAAAAGGTTCCTGATTCCACGTACGAAATGGTGGGAGGTCTGGACAAGCAGATCAAAGAAATAAAGGAAGTGATAGAACTGCCAGTAAAACACCCCGAGTTATTTGAAGCTCTGGGCATTGCCCAGCCTAAGGTAGGGTTAATAAATGTTGATGGAGAGTTACTTTTATTAATTTTTTGAAAAATTACAAAATAAGATATTAAAATGTTTATATGTTAGGCCATGCAAAGTTAATTACTTGGTTCTCAGGCCTTTTTTCAAGAAATATGATGAGGGAGGGAGGCATTTTTTTTTCTTTTTTATTGCCCCCAAAACATGATGAGGCAGCTTTTTACATTGTACAAAACCTCACAAAATGATGAGGGAGGTGATTTGGTGTTTATATTTTATTGATTTAGCAATAAAAAGGGTCAATGAGGCACCCTTGGAAGAGATGAGGGAGGGCCTGAGAACCAAGAAATTAATTTTTTTTTGCCTTACAGAGGAAAAAAATTAAATTCAAACATACTGTTTTCCATTGTGTCTTAACTCCACAAAATCACAATATCTTTTCAAGGCAAGGCTAAAAATAATATGCAGATTTCTTAGTTTGCAATTGTATGCTTTAAAAGCTTTTTACATACACAGTTATAAATTTTCTTGGGAAATGTTTAACTGCATATATACATGTAGTGTACAATTGATTCTTTTTGGAATATTGTACTTCTTAGTTTGTATATTAAGAACTGTTGTATTTTGATTATTTCTCTTTTTAATTTATTTTAATTTAAAATCAGTTAATTAAGATCGAAAACGTTCAGAGTTTTTTTTATTCATCACTGTGTATATATTATTTGATCTTAATGCAGTATGAATAACCTCCTTTTGCTATTGCAAATTCGGAGCAACAACCTATGCATATACTCTACGGAAAACTCTTTATACAATCTATACACTCTGTTTCAATTAAAGGGTGTATTGCTTTATGGCCCCCCTGGTACAGGGAAGACGCTGTTAGCCAGAGCTGTAGCTCACCACACGGAGTGTACGTTTATCCGAGTCTCCGGATCCGAGCTGGTCCAGAAATTCATCGGTGAGGGATCTAGGATGGTGCGCGAACTCTTCGTCATGGCCAGGTAACCAAAAACTTAATTCTATGTAGGTTTCTTACAAAAAAAAAAATGAAAAGGTATGTTTATTTTTAGTATGCTGCTTCCTTGTTGTCACAGAATATATTCCTAACATTCATTGAATTTTTTTTAGGGAGCATGCACCTTCTATTATTTTCATGGATGAAATTGATTCTATAGGATCTTCAAGATTAGAAGGGGGCTCAGGAGGTATGGTTTATATTTAACATAAAGTCAGATATTTCAAACATTCATCATCAACATACACTAATAAGCAAAATGTTACTGACAAAGGCCATAAAAAATTAATTTCTTGGTTCTCAGGCCCTCCCTCACCTCTTCCAAGGGTGCCTCATTGACCCTTTTTATTGCTAAATCAATAAAATAAAAACAAAAAAATCACCTCCCTCATCATTTTTTGAGGTTTTGAACAATGTAAAAAGCTACCTCAGCATGTTTTTGGGGCAATAAAAAAGTTTTTAAAAAATACCTCCCTCCCTCATCATATTTCTTTAAAAAAAAAAAGGCCTGAGAACCAAGGAATTAACTTTGCATGGCCAAATCAAGTTTCTTTTGTGTAAGAAAAGATATATGTATTGTAGAAAATATTTTATTATATATACTTCCTTATCTTGGTGGAGAAGTGTTTGAGAGAGAAGTGATTAGTGTTTATACATACCCTTGTTGTTTTTAAAGTTTATTTTTTATATTTTATTTCAAATTTTACATAGGTGACTCTGAAGTGCAAAGAACTATGTTAGAATTGTTAAACCAGTTGGATGGATTTGAGCCAAAACAAAACATAAAGGTATTTGGAAGCTTTTGTGAATTTAGCATTTCATTCTGAAGAGTATTTCATGCAGCGTAGCAGTTGTTCCATTTTCTTCATTAATGTAGATCACAGAGATGGCCATTTATTATTTATATATGCAAGACATGATTTTCAGAAAGAATGGTTGCACTTAGTGTACTAAACGTGGCCCCCGGTAAATTGCGCAAAAATAAGGTATAGAAAGTAGCCTAATGAAATTAATAAAACATTTCTTCATTGTCCAGATCGCAACTTTGCAAAATTACAGAAATTAAAAGTGAGTGATATTGAAGAACGAGACTGTGTTTTGTAAGAGGGGTCAATGCAAATCACGAATCTCAATTGTTATTCAAAGTTATTCCAATTTTTAGAGCTGAAATACATAGTGAGCGCATGCTTGCCCAAATTTCTCAAAAGGACAGAAGGTGTAGAACTTTTGGAAATTCAACATATTTAAGAGAGAATTTTGGGCAAGCATGCGCTCGGGGTAAACTTTTTGAAAAAAGGTACAACACCCCGACAGTTTTCATCACTGTTTACGGGTATTTACATGTCATTGACCTCATTGTGACGTGTTTAATATTCCAATTTACCACGTGCTTTGTAGACTCAAGTAACATTGTGAATACAAAAAAATCAATAAACCACGTGGTTGTAGATTCCGTCGAAAGGTGTCCAACTTAAACCGTAAAAGCCCGTTACATGTACATTTTCAAAAAATCAACATAGAATTATTTCTTTTTTGTCAAGTGTTTACATAGGGTGCTGGAATATTAAATTGGAAAAAATGTAACGATATTTTATTTTTAGTCCTTGGATTTAGGGGCACGTTTGGAGGCTCAACGAGTTTCAAAGATTTAGCTCCCATCTTCGAAGTAGCATCATTCCTCAGAGTGTTTTTGACTGTAAAAATATAGGGACACGGGATAGAATATGTAGATTGTTTAACACTGGCATGGAATTCTTACTGGTAATCCCCCCTTCCAAAAAAAAAAAAGTCATAAAAAAAAACAAAACAAAACAAAAAAACAATCGCACATACAATTAATAAAATTGTTTTAGTGATAAAATATCACCAGATGCAGCATCACCAAAAAATATTCCGTACACCATTATTTGTGAGAAGTACGGGGTATTTACTGTACTTAAAAAAGTACGAATAGAGAGATAGAGAGAGAGAGATGTTTAAAATTGCAATACAGCACTAATCTTTTAAAAAATATAGAAGTTTTTCTTAAATATGATTTTCCCCGTTTTCATATACAACTAGGCTCAGTTAATTTAATTTAATGTTAAATTTCCACCGAGAAACGACCACAAGATGGGAGATCTGGATTTATAGGGATCATATACATCTCAAAGATCCTCCCCAAGTACCATCTTTCGTTAAAAAAAAATGTCGTAATCCTTGAAAAATTCTTTGTGTTTATTTTTCTGTATGCAGATTGTATTTTGTATTAAATTCCAAAAGTCATCATAACTGGCTAAATATTACATGTTTTCAATCGATCGATGAAATGCCCCACCTACACTGAATATTAATGTGACACAATTAAAACCCAACTCGGACAAGTGCATCATTCCGGAATTAACACAAAGTATATGACTTTTTAAATTACCATTTATAAAACTAAGACGCTGTTTTCAATGTGAATTTTTGCAAGGAATATACCACAAAGATAACAAAGTATGAGTTAGGTGTAAAATAATTGACATTTGAGTTAATTAGATAAAGTTAGAGGGGTCCGAAAAAGGGGCCACGGCACAATGTTTAAAAGGAAACATTCTTTTGATTATTTTTCTTTTATTATAATATTTAGTAATACAAATATATGCAAGAATCAACTTATTTCCAGCAGGCAGTTTAATGTTACCAAATAAAAATCAGTAGTTCTTGATACACATTATAAGTTTTATATAAATTTCAGGTGATTATGGCAACAAACAGAATTGATATCCTTGACTCAGCCTTACTAAGACCAGGCAGAATAGACAGAAAAATTGAGTTTCCTCCTCCAAATGAAGAGGTGAGTGTCTCTACTATAGACATAGGCTTTACACAACAGTGAAAATATACATGAAAATACATTATAATGAAGAGTGGTTTGTAAATATTCTGTTTAAACAGGGTTTTTAGCCAGGATATAATTTTGACATTAAAGCAAGGATGCTGAGATTGCTAAAATCTAAAAATTAATTGTGTTTTTTTATTGTAATATACACTCTGTAGCTTCTGTTGTGAGCATTTTAGAATTGCTTAAATTACATGTTGCTGAAATTAAAATACCATTTTTTAAGGACAAATCGCTAAATTTGCGTTCTGCTGAAATTTCCCCTTACATGGTATATATTCATTCAGAATGGTAACAAAATGTAGAGAAATAAATAAGAAACTGTCTTTTTCAGGCAAGATTAGACATCCTGAAAATTCACTCCCGTAAAATGAATCTGACTCGAGGAATCAATCTACGAAAAATTGCCGAAATGATGCCAGGAGCTTCAGGGGCAGAGGTCAAAGTAAGTGGACTTAATACATGGACTTTAATACATTTAAGTAGGACTAGGCATGTACTTATCCTGTTGAATATGCATATATGGAAGTACCAGAGACAAACAGTTTTGATTTGTTATAATGTGAATTGCTATATCTCAGTAGTTCATATTATGTTTGAAATCTACAGGACAGAAAGATCACTGATATAAGCTGTTTGTGCAATTCACTTGAACCATGTTAACAGTAATCTTGTTTCATGCTACATGTATGCAGTAAGGTGGAAGGGAAAGTCATAAATAAGAATTTCTCGTAACTATTTTTTAGGGAGTTTGCACAGAAGCTGGAATGTACGCCTTAAGAGAGAGACGTGTTCACGTAACACAGGAGGACTTCGAGTTGGCTGTGGCTAAGGTACCGCTAAAAATAGGTCTTTTAATTGGGTATCCAGTAAATTAGATCTAAGTGACCCCAAGGGGTCAAAAGTTATTTGTAACTTTTATTTCTTTGAGATCTGACTTGGTGATTGAGTTTATTTCAATCAAGTTTATAGAAAATAAATAATGAGCCAAGCATGATGTAGTGTTGGTACATATACATGTTTTTACAATATGTGAACATGAACACTGAAGCTACTCTAAATATACTGACATGCAAAAGAAATGCAACACCCTACTTTAGAGGGAAATGATTATGTAAAGTAAAGAATTTTGTATCTTAAATTTATGAATATCTTCAAATTGGTAAACATCGGTAATTTAGTGGTTGAACGATTTCCATACCATAAACCGGAAGTCAAATTTGAGTCTGCTTAACAGAATTCAAAAATTGCATGTTCAACAAAACATTTGGCAATATTATGGAGTTTTAAGGGTTTTTTCCTATTCATCATAAGTAATGCAGCAATATTTCAAAAAATAAACTCTCCTTTCGTTTCCCGAAACGATGCTAAGGCTACTTGAAAATGGCTTATGTACGCATTTCCAATGCTCTAGCTGGAAAATTTCCATGTAAAGGTGATGCAGAGTTGCTGATGCGAAATTTCACTACATTACGACTCAACGGGGTCTTACGTATCATATGCATTAAGGACAGTCCTTGTACCGGAAGTCCAAGGGTGGCTACACTGCTCTAAGTCAGAGAAAATTCGACCTAATCATCTGAAAAACGGGCATTTAAAAATGCCAAAGAATATTTCCTTCGCTCAGATTTCGATATTAATGAACCTATTGTATCGTAGAAATTAAGCTGCAATTGTTGTTTAGGGCAGTCTTGCACATTTTACTTGAATGGCTGGGAGGGGGGTGTTTTAACAGTCATATTTTACTTAGTAAAGTAAACAGATAAACATTTAACATTTTTATCAAATCTCTGATGTTCTGAAAAGTGAGTTTAGCCTTACTTTATTCGCTTTTGAAAATCATAAGATAAAAAAATCAAACATTTGTAGATTACTGCTTGTTGCGTTTCTTTTGCGTGTCAGTATATTTTATGTAAATAAAAATGTTGCTTTATTTTTGGCAGAC